CCTACACTCATTCATTCATTCATTCACTCGCACATGCATTCGTTTATTTAATTTAGGAAATGATATTGTAATATTGAAGTGACATTTTGTTTATTATTGCAGCAGTTTTTTGTGAAAAGGGAAGATCACTTGTTACTTTCCAGCGCTGCCACAGAAACAAATTTAATTACGATGTCACTAAATTTCTGCTTGGAAATAAATATTAAACAGCTGATGATAGAGTAGAATATTAAAAAAAGATTTCATGAAGAAATTTTGCACCAACCACCCCTTCGTGGCAGCACGTCACACAAGCAGGCAAGCAGAGGGGGGATTCATGGTGGACAAACTTTTTCTTATAAGGGTCGCATTGGCAATTGCATTGTTATTATAGAACTGCATATATATATATATATATATATATATATATATATATATATAGAGAGAGAGAGAGAGAGAGAGAGAGAAAAGTTTCAAAATCAAATCAAAACAACATCAGGATGTTTTTAATTTTGCTAAAAAGTTACATCAAAATTTTAAACTAGTGACACAATTTAAAAACAAACAAAACAGAAACAAATAAACAAAGAAATACAAATAAATGAATAACGTTTGAAACATTAGCCAGCACCTGAAGACTGCCAGCCCAGTGAAATGATGAAATTAATGTGTAAACAAACATCATCTCATTCCAATAAATTGCCAGCAAGGTTGCTCGTAATGTACCATTAATGATCTCGATGGTGTTAATATAATTTGCTGTTGTTTTTATAACGTTGTTAGTTGTGCTGCCGAGTTGTCGTTCGGGCGTCCTATTGAGATTTAAATTTTTTTTTTTAAATTTGTAAAGAATTTCAAAAACATAGTTTCAATGTTTTTGTGGAGTAGCTTCCAATGGATGTTTCTAATATGTTCAAATTATTCTGTTAGAACTTAGCTGAAAAATTATTGCTATTGTGTTTTCATGTTTTTTTCTTTGGTTTGAAAGTTACATACAAAATTTTCAGTAACATTCTTAAAATTGTAACGCACTTTGTAAATGTTGTTTCAATTTGAGTTGTACATGACAGGATATAAACGAACTTAAAATATTACCACACAATGTTGCACACTCGTTCAACACTTTCAACACTCACTACCACCACAGAACCAAAAAATTTTATGTATCACAGTAATATGGAAGCAGTGGCACAAAAATTAACATTTTTTTTACATTTTATATGAACGTAAAACTTTACCCGAAATCCATCAAATTATAGACAAATATCAAATTTCATAAGACAGCAGCCAACAATTTAATTAATTATAACATAAAAAATAGCCAAAAAAATTTTAAACAAAATTATGAAAAAATTCTTCAAAATTAATTAGAAAATTTTGAAACCACGCCCGCATAGAACCTGAGAACAGAGAGTAGCAGAGGAAGTTGAACTTCTCCCTGCAGACAGCATGCACAACCACCATCACAGCAGACAAAACATCTTCACGCTGATACGTTTGTAAGAGTGGTCCTGATTGATACGAACCAGACGAGGTGGAACATTTTCATATTTTAATAAACATTTGTTTCGTTGTACAACTACATAATCTTGATATTTTTTTAATTTAATTTAATCAGTGTCGTAATATTCCGTTATGTAAAAATTCTTATGATTACCGGAGTTCGCTAGATTTTCTAAGCTCTCCAACATTTTCATCATCAACTTTGAAGATCCAAGACAACAGTTATGTCCTTCACAATTGTTTTAACATTGAAACAACAATGACAACAACATTCATAACTGCACCAACTATGTTTATGAATTGATGTAGAGTTGATGGTGATCTGACTATTCAAGCGGTAAATTTAAACTTAATTGTTAAATCATGTAAAACACACATACAAACATTCACGTACTTATTAATATTTGATGTATTCATCCGAGATTAAACAAACAAAAGACAGTGAATAAAGAATCAACAAATAATCAATAACGTATGTGAAGTCTCTAGATTCGGTGATCCAGATCTAAAGAAATTAGGTCACTGTAGGTCAGAGGTTACAACACCATTATAAGTGAAGAAGGCAGCTGCTGAGCGTCAATTGTGTTCGTTGCATACCGCAATTTATACGAATTGTCGTAGTGTGAATAAGTTAATTCTAAATAATTACGTTATTGGTATGGTATAAAATAAAATTTGCTACAAGAATTGTTTGGATATAACAAACAGCAATTGAAAACTGAACGCGATGAACACGCACTAAACTCAAATTTGTAGTGCATGGAGTTGGAGATCATTCAAATACGGCCGATATAGTATAACTCAGCGGTTTTCAACTGGTGGTACGCGTACTCCTAGGGGCACACCAGCTGTTGCCAAGGGGTACGCAAAAAAACTTTAAAAAAACAAAAAATATTTTAAGAAAGCTATTTTGTACAAAATCAGATGAAACAGGATTATAGTGACAGTCAGCAGAGTAAAGTATTTAACAATATTAAATACTAAATATTTTATATAGCAGATTATAGATAAAATATTATTCCGACTTCTATGGCTATTAACGTCAAAACGAAATGAGAATTTGCAAAATTTCATGTCCTATTTGCCAGGGCTATTTTAATTTAAATTTATTATAATTATGCATTCAGCGGATGGCAGAAGCTCACACTGTAAACTCGTAAAGTTTAAACTTAATAGTTTACGGTCATACTTTACAAGTTGACCCCATGGGCTTCTATTATCTGCTGAATGCATGTTAAAATATGATTAAACGTTAATTTTTTGTTATTTTTTCTTTGTTTTGATATTCTTTGTTGTCATGGTTTCGTCATTACACAAAAATAAATTAATGAACCTCATATTTTATCTTAATTATTAATAAATACAATTTAATTTAAAATATCGGAATTAATCATAAAAACATTTTGCTAAAATTTTTTAGATAAAGTTAAAGTTAAACAATGGATAAATGGCTCAAACAACAACCATTAAAAAACGAATAGTCATCCTCTAGCATCGCAACTGAGCCGATGCTCAGCGCAGATGTCCATGCAGATTCAGACTCGGATGATGACAATCAAAAACTGCGGAAGATTAGGCGATATGATGAGAAGTTTTTGTCTCTTGGATTCTCGTGGTGTGGTGAAGAAAAAGAACCAAAGCCACAGTGTGTCGTATGTAATGAAAAATTTATCAAATCATTCGATGAAACCTTCATTACTTCAACGTCACTTTAATACAAAACATGCTCTTCTCAAAGATAAACCACTAGAATTTTTCAAAAGAAAAGAAGTTGAATTGAAACATTCTAGGAGCAGCATTTCAATCACTGCACACATTCTTGACTGAAAACGAACTTCAACTGCATCCTAACATGGCTGAAGATATCAAGAACCGTTGTTCTCAGTTAATTTTGAATTTTCGAACCTATTTTCCTGAAAACTTTTATGACAAAACTTAGATAAGAAATCCATGTTCTGATGTTGCATTACCAGCTGACTTTTCTGTTCAAGAAAGAGATCAATTCATTGAACTTTCATGTGATAGTGGATTGAAGAATAAATTCAACAAAGACTTGAGTGATTTTTGGCTTAAAAGAAGAGAAGAATATGGATTAATTTCTGACAGAGCTTTGAAATTTTTGATCCCTTTCAGTACTTGTTATCTCTGTGAAACTGGATTTTCTGCAATGTTGGCAATAAAAAACAAATACAGATCAAAACTTGAACTTGAGCCAGACTTGCGTCTAAAATTGACATTAATAAAGCCTGACATTTCAGAATTGTGCAAATCTAAGCAAGCCCAGTGCTCACATTAACATGATTATACTTTTATTGTGACAATGAGCGGAACTCTCTGACCCTTTGTCTTAGCAGAAAACTATGACTATTAGGTTTTTATTAGCATAATAATTATTATTAGCAGGACTATATTTTCATGTTTTTCAAAAAGATTACAAAAATAAAAATAACATCGTTTTCGATTAAATTAATTTTGGCATGAAACCATAATAATTTTAATATAATATTAATATTATAATAAATTTAGTAAAATGTATAAGCAGATAGGACCGTCACTATAGTGACTGTACTAAAATAACCAAAATTTACTAAAATAGCTAAATTACTAAAAAAAAGTTTCTGAGAAATTTTTGTCTGATGGGGGTACGTACGCAAATAACATTTTAACTTGGGGGTACAACAAAAAAAAAGGTTGGGAACCCCTGGTATAACTAACAATCAAACACAATGGCATTTGAAAATTTCTCATTATTCACATGATTCCAAATATAATATTCAGGCCCATTCATAATACAATCATCAATTTAATAAGCTAATTAACAGTTTATCCATTATAATTATTTACACACATACACGTACACACACATTCATACAAAGACACACACACACATTCATAAAAAGACACACACACACACACATACATACATACAACAAACACACATACTCACGTACACACACGTACACACAGACACACACAAACAAAAATCCCACTATAGAGTTACAACAAAACAGTTTTAACATAAAACTGATAGGAAATACTACAATACTGATTAGGATATATATATATATATATATATATATATATATATATATATATATATATATATAACATGTTTGTGAGTATGTGTACGTGTATATGTGCTTGTCCGTGTCTTTGAAATGTTTGAAAGTTAGTATTTAAGAGATTAACGAAAAATAATTGAAACAAAAAACTAAACAAGCAGCTTTGCACATGATGAAATAAGCATTTATGAAATAAAAGCAACAAACTATAAAAAAATAAATTTATTTATCTAATTTTTCATACGCACTCTCATTCATTCACTCTCTCATTCATTCATTCATTCATTCATTCATTCATTCATTCATTCATTCATTCATTCATTCATTCATTCATTCATTCATTCATTCATATTCACTCTCTCATTCATTCACTCTCTCATTCATTCATTCATTCATATTTACTCATTCATTCATTCACTCTCTCATTCATTCATTCATTCAACAAACAACAAAAATTCACGATCCAGAAATCTTCATCTTGTTCAGGATAGGGACTACCATATCGAATCTGGGCCTCTTGCCCGGATCCTCGTTCATGCATATCTTGATGAGGCGCTCCATGTGGGCCGAACTTCCGGCTGTCGATGTCGACACCCTCAGGCCCTCTAGAGCAATCTGGTGGTGGCGTTTGTTGGTGTGGTGTGGTGTGATTTTTGGACTGTTTGGTGATTTTTGGTGTAAATGTTGATGGGGTGTTGTAGTTTTTTGTTGCTTGTTTGTTTGTTTTGTTTGTTTGTTTGTTTGTTGCTGTTATTATAATTATTGTTTGTTGCAGTTGCATGTCTCATTGTCAGTTGGGTTATTTTTGCCAATTTTTCTGTCGCATATATTTTTGAATCCGTAAAAATAAAAACTTGAAAGAAAAAACAAGACGCAAAAAAAAATAGACGCACACACACAAATACAAACAGAAACACACAAACACACAGACCTTCATCCCGGCTTCCATTGGGGACAACTCAGCAAAAGGTACATCCCTAGTTTGCAGCTCCCAGAGAATGATGGCGAAACTCCACATATCGGCTGCCCTCTGATTTATATCTGACAGTGGTTTCTGCAGAGCTGGTGTTAACATAAGTTAGCAAATGTTGGACACTGTCGCTGGAGATGACGTCACGATTATGTGGTGTCATTTATATAGCGCCCTACTGCTTGCAGAGTCAATTTTTCTCTAACACATAGCGTGAACGTAGTTACTGAATTGAAACAATCTTTTATTCAGTAAGATGTTACAATAATAAATTACTAAGAGTAATCGTAATAAGTATCATATTAGGAATCGTAACCACAACAACGTCACTATAACTATCATCATCATCATCATCATCAAAATCATCATCAGTACCATCACAATCGTCATCACCAGCATCACCTTCAGGGGCCATCCAGGCTGGATACATCTCCCTACCCCTCTGGTGGAATGAGAATTTGTAGCTGGAGAGGTTTATCCGGCATGTGAAGTCCTCATCAATCTGTGCGTATTTGTATGTATTTGTTTGTATCTAGTTGTTGGTGTCTGTTTTTTGGTGTTTGTTTTGTACCTGCGTTTGTATGTGTGTGTGTGTGTGTGTGTGTGTGTGTGTGTGTGTGTGTGTGTGTGTGTGTGTGTGAGTGTTTGTATAGATCTGTCTGTATGTATACGTGTTTGTATCTTTTTTGTAATTGTTGATATTTGATTGTATACGTGTTTCTTTAGGTTAGTAGTATATGTTGGTATAAGTTAGTATATGCGGGTATTTCAATGTACGTATTTGTTCTGTATTTGTTGGTATTAAAAACGACAACAGCATCAACAACAATAACAACAATAACAACAACATCAACAACAACAACTTTAACAACAACAATATATCAATCAATTCGTTTATTTTCTCAAAAGAGGGGTAAACTAAAAAAGCAACCAAATGCTTGTAAGAAAGTCACCCTATCCAAATAAAATCAACATTGATCAACAAAAATCAAAAATTAAAATAGTTCGACAAAAATCAAGGATTAAACTAGATCGAAATAAATCAAAAGTTATTGAACTGCAGATTCTATTCTATTAATCTTATGAAACAGAGATATAGTTCAAAATGAGTACATAAAATTAAAGTTTTGAATTTAGGATTCTATAGCATTTCAATAAATTAAATGATATGAAACCAAATATAGTTCAAAAGTAAGAGTACATACATATATACATACCTACATACGCACATACATACATACATACATCCATACATCCATACATTCATACATACATACATACATACAAACAAACATACATACATACATACATACATACAAAAACAGTTTTATTCAGATCATTGATATTACTCATATACAAAAATTATTCAAATAAGATTTGGATAAGGTTAAAACAACTATAGTTGCAAAAATCGCCGTTTATCAGACAATAAATAAGTTTTACAATGTTGTTTAAAAAGACGAGGTTTTGAAATAATTGTAACAGATAGAGGCAAAATTGTAAACCAAATTTTGGGTGCAAGAATAAATATGCTATCATTTAAAATTTTTAGTCTACTGAATAGTATCATATATGGAATGAAGTGACGAGTAGATTTAAAAATATGTGAAGGTTTGAGTAAAAAAATATTTGAGAAATTAGATGGTAGCAGATTATTGACAAATTTGAACATGAAAAAGGCAACAATAAAAATATGTAATTTGTATATTGTAAGAAGACCTAAAGAAGAAAAATATTCATCAACATGAGTGGTAATTTTTAAATATAATAATAGTTTTATAAATTTTTTTTGAATTCTATATAGTTTTGAGACATGAACAGCAGGGCTATTGCCCCAGATAAGATTACAATATGATAGATGAGGAAAAACAAATGCATTGTACAACAATATTAAAGTAGTTTTATTAAGTTTGTATCTTATTTTATAAAGAAGACCTAAAATTTTGCTTAATTTAGAAGAAATAGTATTAATATGTTCAGCCCAAGATAAATTATCTGAGATAATTAGACCCAAAAATTTTGTACTGTAAGACCTCTCCATTAAATGGTTATTCAAATGAAGATTTAAGGGACCAAAAGTATTGGTAAGGATCTTCGGACCAATAATCATATAATTACATTTTTGATAGTTAATTTTTAGTTTATTGGTATAAAACCAGTTAGTAATAAGTTTTAGGTATAATAAGTAGTC